CCCCCCTGCCTTTCCGGACTGTTCGACCTAGACTACCCAATAACAAGTGTCAAGCGATGAGACGAGCCAATTCACTTGACGCCAGCCTACACAGAGACCAAGGTATTGGACGATGAACACGCTGAGATAGCCCCAGCCTTATCAGACGAGGAGGAATGCTGGTACTTACCATTATTCGGCGTCTATGACGCCAACAAACCTGACCAAATACGAGACGTATTCGACTCGTCGGCCAAACACCATGATGTCTCGTTGAACGGTGTTCTCCTTTCGGGACCTGATCTCACCAACAACCTCCTTGGAGTCCTCCTTCGCTTAAGAAAGGAGGCCGTATCTATCACAGCCGACGTCCAGTAGATGTTTCATTGTTTTCGAGTCAAACAAGAGCATAGGAACTTTTTAAGATTCCTTTGGTACAAAGATAATGACCCAGACAAGGAACTGATTGACTATCGCATGACGGTCCATGTTTTTGGGAATAGTCCCTCTCTGTCGGTGGCTACCTTCGGGCTAAGGAAGGCTGTTGAAACCGCCGATACCGATGTTAGAGAATTTGTTGGACGCGACTTTTATGTTGACGACGGGTTAACTTCGTGCGCAGAGGAATCAGAGGCTATCAACCTTATTGAAAAGACCAAGAAATCCCTCCTAGAGGGTGGTAACATGAGGCTCCATATAATTGCTTCCAACAGTGAGGTCGTACTGAATGCGTTCGAACCCATTGCCTTAGCAAAGAACATCAAGGACCTTGACCTCAACACTGATACCCCTCCATTACAGAGAAGTCTGGGGCTCAACTGGAACATCATGTCAGACACCTTCACCTTCAAAACAGCTGCAGGCATCAATGATAAACCCTACACGAGACGTGGGGTATTGTCTGTGGTGAACAGTCTTTTCGATCCCATTGGATTTGTCGCCCCTGTAGTGATTTAAGGCAAACTACTCTTACGAAATTTAATGTCCAACTCCTTGGATTGGGACGAACCCCTACCGACGGACCGACAAGCTGAGTGGGACGTATGAAGAGAATCCCTCTTCCTATTGGAAAGCGTCCACATTCCGCGATCGTATACGGATCTACTCTCTACAGAGGTCGTGAGAAAAGAAATCCACATATTTTCTGATGCATCAAAGGAAGCCATTGGAGCAGTTTCGTATGTGAAAATATTTGAACCAAGTGTAAAACATCGCATCGGATTTCTACTCGGAAAGGTCAATGTCGCGCCTACTCATGGACACACTATCCCCAGACTCGAACTCTGTGCTGCTGTCCTCGCGGTTGAGATTTGGGAGACGTTACTAGAACAGTTAAACTTCACTGTGGACTTTGCACACTTCCACACAGACAGCAAGGTAGTACTTGGGTACATTAACAACGAACGCAGACGCTTTTACGTGTACGTTGGTAATAGAGTCGACCGAATAAGACGGTCGACTGTGCCAGATCAATGGAACTATGTGCCCACAGAATTAAACCCAGCGGACCAAGCTACAAGAACTGTGTATGCAGGTAAAATCCAAGATAGTGCCTGGCTCCAAGGACCGGCCTTCCTCAAAGAATATGAGATTACCCAGAAGAAGGACTTCCCTTTAGTGGACTCTGAACATGACAAGGATGTTAGACCAGAAGTAAACGCCATTAAAACATCTGTTGCCTCTCCAGATGGACTGGGTTCTGACGATCTGGCCATCACTCCAGTTGGAATAGACTCGTGGAATCAATCGCCTACCTTTAACACCTCGCCAGGAGTTTCACTCGGTGTAGTAGGCAGGCCGAGTCTTGTCGTGGTTGGCATCTATGTGCCTCCCACAGAACAGTAAGTTCATACGAAGAATCTGAGCGCTTTGTGATTAAGGAAGCACATCGAGATCAATATGTGAGAGAGATACAATGTGTCATGGAGGGGAGACCACTCCCGAATAATAGCACAATACTCTCATTGTCCCGTATCGTCGATGCGAATGGCGTTCTAAGAGTCGGCGGTCATCTCAATAAGGCCACACGAACCCTGCCTACCAGCGAAACCAACTCTATCATTGTGCCAAAACGCAGACCCATCGCCAAACTCATCATTAGACATTTTCATGAGTCAGTCCTCCACCAGGGAAGACACATCACAGAAGGTGCCGTAAGAGCAGCAGGGTTCTGGAACATCGGTGGGAAACGTCTTGTGTCCTCCCTCATACATAGCTGTGTTCAATGTAGAAGGCTTCGAGGTCAAGTGGAGCGCCAAAAGATGTCTGACTTGCCTATTGACCGGTTGAAACCCAACCCACCTTTTACATACGTGGGAGTCGACACCTTTGGACCCTGGTCCATCGTCACCCGCAAGACCAGGGGAGAGTCCGCCCAAAACAAACGATGGACTATACTGTTCACTTGTTTGGTCACCCGGGCTATCCATATTGAAGTGGTTGAGGAACTCAGCAGTGCGTCATTTATCAACGCGTTAAGGAGATTTACAGCGATCAGGGGCAGTGTTAAACTATTCCGCTCTGACTGGGGAACCAATTTTGTTGGAGCTGTCAACCCGTTGGAGATCGACACAATCAACGTGGAGGATGGACCGGTGGAAGCATGTCCAGGTGCCTGCCAACGATTTCTGGAGACGTTGGAGACATGAGTACCTCCACACTCTTCAGAAGCGTGAGAAATGGAATGATGACCGTCCCAACCGCAAGAAAGGAGGCATTGTCTTACTCAAGTACTCCCAGGTCGCCAGAAACAACTGGCCACTAGTTGTTGTGGAGCTTGTGTTCGCCAGCGATGACTCACGTTTGAGAAAGGCGCAGATTCGTGTTTCTAGAGACGGAAAAACTGACAAGGTTCCTGATGCCCATATCTGACCTCATCCTCCTGGTCTCTGAGTGATTCCTAGTGTTAGCGATGACTCTCAATCACCTTAATGCAAAGGATTATTACTTATCATTTCGAAGAATTTTAGTGACATTGAATTTGTCTTGTTTATCGTTGCGATTTCTAGTCGAAATCTATATGTGTAGATCTATAGTGATTTTTTCCGGTCAAGTCAGAAGGGGTTATGCCTTACGTTTTTTTACCAGTGCACTGTGCGGTACATTTGTGCACAACTCTAGGGATGTTCTAGTCTGGGACCTTTATAATCGCAGTCCGCTTAGATTTATCGCCCTTGCGAACTTCCGTTTTCCTGCCGTTCACAGGCATGGTTCTTCTCAGGAAGATTTTTGCTATCATTTCGTTACATGGCATTGTGTGCTACTGCCACCACAGAGTAAGTGATTACAATGAAAAGATACTTTTGTTTCATAAACATTTCATGACATTGATTTCAGTGACATTTCATAAACATTGCGATATCCCATCATATAATGTTCCTTGGTTATTGTGAGACATTGTTGTGAGATATACTGCCAAATGGCATTCAAATGTTCTGGTACTTATTTTAACATCGTCCCTTTGTTGTAACAGTTTTATACCCTCTCTGGAGGATTGGCGACATTAATGATTATACAAAAACCAACACGTCTTTTGGAGTTGTTACAATCAGAATCCATCATCATCATACTCATCATCATTATACCATCATCATCACTATCGTCATCATCCTAATCCTAATCATCATCATTCAATCATCACCATAATCATACAGTCATCATCTTCATTCATCATTCAATCTTTATCGTCATTCTTAATCATCAAAACCATAATGATATCACCATCATCATCATCATTCCAGATTCACAATATTATGCTCGCATTTAAAATCACCCAATTATTTGCTGTATACATCAATTCACATGTACATACACAGCCATGAGAGGACGGTATGATTGCAACTTGCAACTGGGAATACGAGTAAAGGTTATGTAACAAGTGAGCTGATTTTATCAGGTTATTTATATATATGTCCAATAGAGTTAAAGCGCCTGTTCGGGGAAAAAATCTATGTTTGCTGAAATTGCACATATAATGTTTAAAATACTTCCTTATGAAAGAAAGCGATTCAAATTTTGGTGAAATTCACTCCCTGGAAGTAAAAATTATAATCATTTTAACAAAATCCTAAATCGTCATCTGACAGTCTAAAACTCTCACTTGACCCAGATCAGTGATGGCCAGTTGCTGAAGGAGTTGTGCAAGGTTACTGGTGTCGCAAAGTCTCACACTGCGCCCTACCACCCCATGGGAAATGGACTTTGTGAATGATTTAACCGTACCTTGATCAGCATGCTCAGGACGATCGAACAGGATCAGAAGAAGGATTGGAAGGAACACATTTCATCGCTTGTCCATGCATATAACTGCACCCGACACGAGTCAACTGGACAGTCTCCTTATTTTTTGATGTTCGGAAGGAACCCGCGGTTACCTGTGGATCTCGCTTTCGGGCTTGATTTCGGCCATAAGGAGACATCTATGACTGCCTACGTCGGAGATCTACGATAGTGTTTGAAGAAAGCGTATGAACTAGCTTCAGCCAATATATCTAAAGCCCAGTCAAAACAGGAAAAAAACGATGACACTAAAGTTCGAGGAACTACTGTCGCTATCGGAGATCGTGTGCTGGTGAAGGTTGTTGCCTTCGATGGCAGGCATAAGTTGGCCAACAAGTGGGAGGAAGAACCCTACATTGTGACTGGACAACCCAACGCCGAGATACCAGCATACACTGTGAAGAAGGAGAATGGCGAGGGAAAAGTGCGAACTTTACACCGGAACCTACTTCTTCCGATCAATTATATTTCCGGGTTTGATCAGCCTGTATCACTTCCCCGACAGACTTAACCCCCAGTGACACGCTCACGAAAGGCTGCTAAGGACGATTCGTCTGAGAGAAGTTCTTCCTGTTCGTCGTCGCCATCTGATGATGAGGTACTCTTGGTGGCTGTTGACCATCCCACAGATGTCGCAGCCGGTGCCACCGCTGGAGATACCTCAGGGGATAGAGAAGTGTCCGGTATAGAGGTCAGTAGTGTGACGTCAGTATATATCTATCATCTGATTGGCTATTGGCGCGCGATAATTTGTATGACTAGGTAGATGAGAGAGCGACGACAACGACGACTGACAAGAATATAAGTGAGGTATAACCTGAGTTCTCGATTTACAAACTTACCTGACGATCTTTTCTATTTGTCACTTCTCCTGTCCGTCGTGCGGTATTTCCCGCGAGCTGTATCTGCTATTATGTGTACAGTATTCTATATTATTTTAAATAAAACATGTATGTGTGCGTACGCTAGGTTTACCTGTGTGACCGCCATTACACCGGCTGGTACGATTGTGTTTATATTCCATATCTTATTATTTGTATTGTTTATGTTTACAGACTTGAATATATGTACAGACTAATACATGAGCTGGACATATTGTAAAGCCTTCAACCAAACAGAGGTGATTATTTCATTAGAAGTCATACTATTCCCAATATGTATATATCCTTTTGAATTTCCCGTCATAGTGTACGTCCGTAAATAGTTTTCACCATTTATGAGTAACGTCAACAGTAAATGCCAAAAGGCCATACACTTATAATATAATATATGTGTAACGATAAATTGTAATCAATATTATAACTAATAGATAAGGAAATAGTATATGTCCTATTTCCAATTCAGTATTTGTTATTATATAATCCCCGGTTAAACGTACGTATTTTACAGCTAAGTGCTAATTGTCAGATTGTACTCGTATCTGTTATATAAGTATCGATAGCGTTAGGTGTATGCGTAGTAAAGTTTGTATCGTTGCAAGGTAAGATTTACCTACAATAAAACCACTGGTTCGTTATCAAAACGTCGACCTTGGGTTGTTTCATTAATGTGAATGGTTTTGTTGGCAAACAGTACCTTTAAGATGTTATTAGGGCGCATATGTTATCAGTGTCTAGCAAAAACGTAAATTTATGGGAAACTGAAACCCTCCCTCATGTCTGTTTTGTCCGTTTTTAGTGGGGCCCCTTTGGGGTAATTTGGAACTTTTTAATGTATAGACAAAACATAATTTAGTTTGGGGTGGTTTTCGAAATTATTAGTTATCTTTATTATTTTACACGTAATTTTATTTTTAGTGTTATGATATAAGATAAGGGTTTTCATAACATCAATTAGTAAATTGTAAGGCCTCTCAGACAAGTATAACTTATTTATAATTCTCCTACATCTAAGACGTTAGAGATACATGTATATGTAATAAAGGGCAAAATTGACTGCATGAAAATACAGATTATACTCTGCTGATAGTGATTATAAACTTCTACCACAATACGCTGTGTAATACGCAGACTGTTAGATAAATATGAGTTATATACCACTTATTTATAATTCTCCTACATCTAAGACGTTAGAGATACATGTATATGTAATAAAGGGCAAAATTGACTGCATGAAAATACAGATTATACTCTGCTGATAGTGATTATAAACTTCTACCACAATACGCTGTGTAATACGCAGACTGTTAGATAAATTTGAGTTATATACCACACGTGGTATATGACCTTCAAGAGTTTTGATTGGTCGAAAAGATGAACTTTGACCGGGAAGACTTTTTCCACGTGCTTTTTGCCACCTGCTGTTTTGTTTACGTCGTCGGCTGTCAACATCCGACAAATGTTGGTGACTTTGTGAGGTTATGCGGAAAGGGGTGTTATTAAGGCAATATTAAAAGATGATGCTTAAAGATTTGATCGCTAGTTTCAGGCAAAATTGCTACGAACGCTCGATATCGTTTCGACGTCACACTGTCGCGTGTCCAGGTCGTGAAACCAAAACAAGATCTGTCACAGTGTCGGGAAATATTTCGTTCTCCCAACGTCCCGTTATCGCTATTTAAACGGTCTAACTATGGCTGAACTTTCACTATAAACGTCAACCATAGAACCGTCACGAAGAAACGTAGGCCTATGGTTTTGGATATTGACCGCGATAAGTTCGTCTACAACGGTTCATCACTTGGCGGGAGGCAGACTTCGTACGATATGCTTACGCGCATATAGTCCGTGGTTAATTTATCCAAATTAATGCAATACTACTACTCTCAATATTCAAAGTCGTTCATCTATTTTATTTTTTCACGAAGTAGTTGCCGAAACATTAATTTTGACAATAATTAAATTTGTAAAAAGAAAAGTCATTTTTGAATATTAATGAGTGACTCTTTACAAATGGGTCATATCACTACGCCAGCCTTGTCAAAAACACGTGTGTGTATGTTATTTCCGACTGATCATAAGATTGTGGTAGAAACAGATCACACGACTCGTGGTTGTTGAGTATGGTATTTATTTCACTCCCGTTAGTTAATTTTCAAAAGTTACAGAAAGACACTCGCTAAAGCTCGTGACTTTTGTAACCACTCGTTGTGTAACCTCTATATATCTACAGTACATGTGAATTATTTAATAATGTTCATGGATCCTGAATTCATTAAACTTTGTTTATATTGACAATATTGACGGAGGAAGGTCTAAAGATGAAGATGAAGTTTGTTATATATACTGCAAAAATAAATATTTCCCGTTAGAAATTTCCTACAATTTGTCCAGGTTCAAGGAGAGTGCATGTACATGTGACTCCTATAGCTAATAAAACATCCACCACTGGTGGGGGGTATCATAAAATTCAGTTATTTTTTAATATTTCTTAAATTGCGATAAAGATACTGTCACACACACAAGATACAAATCAACCTTAAACACTCACTATACTAACTATGCAATTAAAAGTAAAAGAAAGGAAATTCGTCTTTATTGAATACACAAAGTTCCCACTGACACGATGTACTCTGAAGGAGACCATATTCTGATTGTGATTCCTCGGTAGCAAAGCATAAACGCCCACATCCGTCAACCAATTTGCTTGGTGACAATCACGTGACCAAAGGCCCACCGGAACCTATGAACCTTTGTCGTTTTCGGCTGTCCTTACCGAGTATCTGTCTACAAATTGTTTTTCTCATAAATCTCATTACCGTTTTACTTGTGAGATTTTGATTTATTTACCTTGACGAATGAGACCTCGTAGCATCCGTACAGTCTGCGGTTGTGTACGGGTGATTTGTAGGTACACTGCATATTGCGTCCAGTCCAGAAAACGCGATACCCCTCCAGGTACAGGTCACGAAATATTAGAAGCTTATGAACCCAATATTCTCTCAAGGGACTATCATAGTTCGCGTGCAACTCCACCAGAAGCTGCTTGACGTCAGTTAGTTGTGATGTCCTCAACATGTCGGGTAGGACATCCCACTCAAAGGCCTCTATGTCCATCTTTATGACGTCAGGGGCACGCTGTAACGATAACAGAACAAGACAAAATTTCAGCAAAAATGAGACCATCGCCATGAATAATAGACGTACCACTTTGGTCTACATTTTCCATCTCCTATAGAAGCCCAAAGATTTTATTTTAGTGTATGTAACCGCTTATTTCCTATGAAGAAGGCGCGCCCCTTGTTATATGTTTCACGTTCCTTGTACATATGCGGCTATGAATATATAATCGCGAATTTCCCTCATTCATTTTCATTTTACGCATTTCAGTCAGAATAGTACATTAACAGGATAAGCAACAGACTAGACATATGTTACTTCTCTCCTACCAAAGGTCAAGTGCATCGTAGAATACGTTTTAAAATTATGAACAAATCTGCTGCTTCAACCATTTAGAAAACAAAAAAAAAAACCTCTTCTAGAAATATATGTGCTTTATCTAGATAGTACTGATATAGTGTTTTTTTCTGGATTTCAATCTTTTTTGATCATTTATATATCAACAAGTTATTGTTCCTATGGGAACAGTGGCTGTTTAACATGTCTACATTAATTTATTTGGCGAGTAATGTTATATGTAAACATTTCGTTTATTTCATCTGGAGTGATATTTTCAGTTAAACATGTTTAATTGTAATATATAATTAAGAAAGAGAAAGAGAGAGAGAGAGATAGAGAGAGGCAGAGACAGAACGAGACAGAGAGAGAGGTCCCTTTCCTAATGACAGTATTGATGTATGACCGTTTACATTGTTGAACCATGGCAGTCCGTTGCCACTGCTTTTATCACGCTGCTCCTGCATTTAACGTTGCTAATAGCAATTCTCGTCGCCATCGTTCACTTCTTGCTTTTTTCGTTATTTTGACGTGACCTAGCCCCCTCCCTATCCCGCGCTATGTTGTTGCCCTTACTAAGCCTCGTTTACTTACGCTAACATGGCGAAGCTCCTCCCGAATACCTTTAAGCGTACTCATTTTCCAGCCTACCGTTTCGTTACTGATACCATTATAATCTGATAGGCCAGTTGCGTGAAAAAATACGGACGGGTTGCGTACGTGATCTTTCTGGTGCATGCTGCGAAATAACAATAGGATACAATAATCAATAATCAAGTATTGAGGTACATGTACTTCAACTTAACTCTAGCTTATTTTTATTTATTTAAATCACATTTTATTATTAGTAATAGAATAAATTACCCAAATCTGTCAGTGCCCGTTACTCACCTAGGATCAAAGGAGTGCACCTCGCATCCAAATACTGACGCCATTTCATCATCAAACGAAAAGTCAAAATGTATTCTGAAAGTAACAAGGGTACGTAAGGATTGCACTTTATGTTAACCGGAAGTAGCGTCGTTATCCTAATGTAGATATTGGTCCTGTGTAACCCTGCCTAAGTCTGCCGTAAGAAAAAGACATCTTATTACTAGCGTTAGATATAGTTGGGTCTGGGTTTTTTTCTGTTTCATTTATTGAAAATCGATCTAAAATTACTACAAAGTTGATGACGTTAATAGAGAAGAATCTATCAATTTACCAACCCGACAAAATGTTGTAAAATTAAGATGACTGCAGTTTACTTAGAAACAGTGTTAGATGAAGGTATTAACAGTCACAGGATTCCTTACCCAAATGAGTAAACAAGACAGGCGTGCTTTTTTATCTCGTCACTACACACGTCCCATCCTCCGTCCATGGTGTTGCCCATGCGCACAGACCGCTTACAGGGGCTCTGGATCGTACTAAAATACCTGTGACGTTACAACATGAATTATACTTTTATTATTTAAAGTGTTCATCAGATTTAAGAAACATAAGAACCTAAATTAAGCATTCAAACATTATTACCACGTTGTTCTGAAAGATTGACGAATCAAGCAAGGAATAAAACCGGAAGTCGCAGTAGAGGAGCAATAAAGATAACGCAGCAATCCACACTGCACTTCTTGTCTTATACACATTGTTAAAAGGCCCTCTCATTAAAAAAAAATCTCTTTTAAAAGTGATTTATATTTAAAGTATAAGAGAGGTAGAGGTCATTGTTGTAGTTGTATGATTTTGTTTGTGAGGTCCATGACTTTATTATTACGCGACATCAACATGAATCGGAGAAATTGTATGCTAGAGTCCCTCGATGTTATAATTCCCTATGCCCATAAACCATTCCGAAAAGCAGACGTAGGTCTTACTTTAATACATATTTAAGAACGTACGTGTGATGGTACATTTCCAGATCCTCGAAAGACATGCTACAAAGCGTGTCCCTGCCTGGTGGGGGTCCATTGCCTATCTCAAGTGTCTTCTTCAAAGTTTCGGTCAGATTCACATTAGTGGAACCAATTGGGGGACAGGCAGGGAAAACAAATTTTCGCTGTAAATGTAACATTAAACCAGAATAACTAAAGCAAAACAGCAGTAGAATAGGAAGAAGAGTGAGTAATGAGTAAAGAAACTATAGAGATCGCAAGTGTTGTAACAGGGGTAGTAGAGCAATTTTGGATTCTTGTTTCTGCAATGTCCCTTTAGCAGTAGACACAAAAGATTCATGTATTCCTGTAGGATTAGAGTCTCCGGTGTTGTCGACGTCACCTAAAATGTACATGTAAGTCAAAAGCAAGTCATACAATTTTCTGAAAGAGAGAACAATGGTGATGACACCAAACCAACAAGATATATTAACATATGGATTTTTATAACCAACAAAATATATTAACATATGGACTTCTATAACCAACAACATATATTAACATATGGACTTCTATAACCAACAACATATATTAACATATGGACTTCTATAACCAACAAGATATATTAACATATGGACTTCTATAACCAACAAGATATATTAACATATGGACTTCTATAACCAACAAGATATATTAACATATGGACTTCTATAACCAACAAGATATATTAACATATGGACTTCTATAACCAACAAGATATATTAACATATGGACTTCTATAACCAACAAGATATATTAACATATGGACTTCTATAACCAACAAGATATATTAACATATGGACTTCTATAACCAACAAGATATATTAACATATGGACTTCTATAACCAACAAGATATATTAACATATGGACTTCTATAACCAACAAGATATATTAACATATGGACTTCTATAACCAACAAGATATATTAACATATGGACTTCTATAACCAACAAGATATATTAACATATGGACTTCTATAACCAACAAGATATATTAACATATGGACTTCTATAACCAACAAGATATATTAACATATGGACTTCTATAACCAACAAGATATATTAACATATGGACTTCTATAACCAACAAGATATATTAACATATGGACTTCTATAACCAACAAGATATATTAACATATGGACTTCTATAACCAACAAGATATATTAACATATGGACTTCTATAACCAACAAGATATATTAACATATGGACTTCTATAACCAACAAGATATATTAACATATGGACTTCTATAACCAACAAGATATATTAACATATGGACTTCTATAACCAACAAGATATATTAACATATGGACTTCTATAACCAACAAGATATATTAACATATGGACTTCTATAACCAACAAGATATATTAACATATGGACTTCTATAACCAACAAGATATATTAACATATGGACTTCTATAACCAACAAGATATATTAACATATGGACTTCTATAACCAACAAGATATATTAACATATGGACTTCTATAACCAACAAGATATATTAACATATGGACTTCTATAACCAACAAGATATATTAACATATGGACTTCTATAACCAACAAGATATATTAACATATGGACTTCTATAACCAACAAGATATATTAACATATGGACTTCTATAACCAACAAGATATATTAACATATGGACTTCTATAACCAACAAGATCTATTAACATATGGACTTCTATAACCAGCAAGAAACTGAAAACAATTCCCACGGAGATTCAAATTTTTATTACAAAAAGACGTCCATGGTCCTCGTCAACCTTCATAGCTAGAGACCTCGTGATGTTGAGAGAAAAGAAACAGATCAACATATACCACTGACTATAAGTCTATCTTAAATGTACCTATGAAAGATGAACGTAACACACCTGTGAATTTTGGTAATTAATGTAGTATGCCAAAACTGAATTCCACTACACCATACAGGTGTTTCGACCTCCTTGGACTTATTGGTGATGATAGAGGCCAAACAGATATACTGTAGAAACATATAAGGGGAGGTTCATAAAACCTCCGAACTATATCAATTCAAAAATTTAGAGAAGTACTGGATAGTTTCAATTAATAGAAGTGTGTACATTAAGAACCATGCATGTCGCTACTAGGGATAACTGAGCATACCGGTCTCGGAAACCTCGAGGATTCAGAAAGCCACTTGCAGGGTCTTCAACTTCGCCTTTTAAAATTTTATTTATTCTATGACATCTTCCAACTTAAATTAATCACTTCTGCTGGTTCGGAATTATTAGCGCGCATGGTGGTCTTAGTGTGGGAGGAAACCAGAGATCCCGGATAAACCCCAAGTGGTCGGGTAGGTGACCCCAAACTTGTTCACGTCATATCGCAGAATCGAGCCCCGCCGCATTATTTCTTGAAAACTGAACGTAACACACGCAAGTCGATAAAATGAACAATATGAAATGTAATATGAATCAACCAACTGCTCCTAGAAAGTTTATACTTGTCTTAGACTTCAAACAATATCCACATTTATCGATGCAATTGCATTTCACTTTAATGATATAGTCTCAAAAATTTCTTTTATAAACAATGACCAGGTGGCCTATATCTATAAATTAGTTAAACATGTACTTACTGGGTAAGCCCTAGTATTGTCAGTAGTCTTGATATATCGGTGGTGTCGGATATATAACAGCATCCAGCACAGTGTCACCACTAATAACATACACAACCACACTCTACGTGTACGGAGGGATCGCATTACTGTAAACAAAATACAGCGCAAACAGTGTTTACAAGTAGACTGAACATGTAGGCACGTATATAGTAATAATAAAGAAACAAGTGCTTGCAAAGGAAAATATAAAACAAAACAACAAATATACAAGATTAACTGCCAGGCCTTTCTGCCTTCTTGTGCCTCTTCGTGCGGACTGAAGAGAGAGAAAGAGACACACACAGATACACATGGAGAGCGTCACAAGTTCTGAATCGGATCTCAAAGACAGAAATATGTTCGGCGGAGATACAAAATAAGGACAAATGTTATGCTTGGTATCGTATGTAGCTGCTCTTTTGTGTTTAAATTAGAAAGGTATTTCACAAATGATGGGAACCACATATATAATATTGTGTATTTTAAACATTGAATAATTAGAGCTTAAAATCGAACATCTAGAGCAAACTATGATATAAATGAAATATTAATATTAAGACCATTGAAAATGTATGAGGAACATAGGACCAGGTGTTCCGATAGCGTCTTCTGCTTCTGCGACGATCTTTCAAATCAAAGTAGAGTCACGTCCTCACATCATGAACTCGGGCAGTTACAACAAATCTACAAGGAACACTTCAGAAAGTAACGAAAAACAACGAAACTCATATCATACAAAGAAAAGCATAATTTCCTACGAGATCGTGATTGCTACCATAGCACTCCACCAGTCTTCATCAACATGCGTCTATGAACAACTTTGCGTTGTAAGTGTTTCTATCATGGAAGTCATGATATTCGGGGCAAGCTCTTAATTAAGAACAAAGTTTTTCTTTCTACACAAACAATGTACGTATTAAACATGTCGCAACGTTTCAAGGCAGACTGGTTCCTTTGTCAAGCTATGACCGAGTGAGCGATTTGTATTTTTTACCTGTACAGCGATGTGAAGAAATTGTACATATTTGCATGTAACTCGATCCGGGACGTTTCACCTATCGATGGGGAGCGTATACACACTGCATCAGAAAGGTTACAGGTAGGGTGTAGATTTTGCCCACTCCTTCAAAGTTCCTGTCAGTGGCGTAGCAAAATTTTCGGAGTGTATGCTTACAGGGGGTCGAACGTCCGAGGTGCATAGTGGATGGGAGGATTTAGGATAGTGCACTGGGTTTGCGATGTGAGAGGATTATTAAGAGATGAATCGAAACAACTTCACTCTTCAACTTTTCATTTTATTCCCCCAACAGGGATCCAACAACAGAACATAGAAACAAGATACGGAGACGGAATACAGTAATACACAAAAACGGTTAATTCCGGATATTCTATTGATGGTTATAATATAATATATACCATGTATATAACAATAGGGATCCCCCTCCCATAGCTGGGAAAAACAATTCTACTAGGCCCTAGAAGCAATCTCCCGTATTCTGTGAAATCCTTTTAGTCTGATAATTAACAAGTAAAACCTGACGTTGATATGAATAATATTAAATTTTGTACTTCACTAAGTAGTTTTGATTTCGATATTTTTCAATGTGTACAGACATAACAACACTACTTCATGAGACTAAAATTTTCAAGAATATTTGTTTTTATTCTTTCCTTTTTTGTGATTGATACGGACGGTTTATATTAATCACTAAAAAAAAGAAATTAATAAAAAATATATGATTAAAAACATCTTGCAATTTGAGTGTATGCAAGCATACATGTATGCTACGCCACTGCCTGTGTCAACCATAGTTGCGAAACTGTTCATAGAACACCTAAAGCAGACCGCCATTAGATCGGCACCCATGGAATGTGGCCCCAAATTTTGGAAACGATATGTAGATGACATCCTAGAAATAGTTTAAGAACAAACATGAGTACCCGGAGAAAAACCACTGACCTGAGACCAGTACATGGCGACTGTGAACACACCATATGTAATGTAACGGTGTGGGATCACAGCACCATATACACCTTCTCACTGAATTTTGCACTACGCGTAACAAAAAAAAACCCTCTTGGGCAAAACCTAAAAAAGTTACCCCAAATTTCCAAACCTTTACCTCTATATATCATTTTTCACATGTACAAGTTGTTTGTCTATCACTATGTGCATGAACCTATAGATCAAGAAAATGTGGTCTTTGGTATTCCCTGGGAACACAATGTTTGTATAATAATTGTCGCACTCTGTGTGTTCCTTACGAGGATCAGACATCGTGCGGACACATCCATACGTTGGTACAATTCTGTGTCAAATGCCAGGATTCTAGACAATTACTTTGAAGTTTGGAGCTACCTATATGGATGTCTAGACTTGGTTGCTATGCATGGAAAATCATAGCAGTATGTACATGTTTCTGGATAGTGGGACAGTGAGGTTGTTGACAAAAATACAAATTGTGAAAGATAATTAGAGCCTGGGTGACTACCAATTGGTAGTATTAATTGTAGGGGTCTATTCTCAAATTCTTTTCAGAGAAGGGATATTTTTGGAAGATGTAGAAAGCAGTTTGATACTACATTTTAGTAGACACTCATTCAGATATAAGAACAGAACATTCTTGAAAAATGGAATGGGGCTGTGATACCCGGTCCAATTCCTATACTTTCAACAGTAGGGAAGTTGCAATCCTTTTAAAAACTCTTTTGGGCTTAAACAAAAATCAGAAAAGTTTGATAAAAAGGGTAAGTTTGTCATGCTCAGTATAAAACTTACCTTTTGTGATAAAAATATAGCGTTTGTAGCTATATATGGGCCTAACGAGACCAATAGAGTGTTCTATGAACAGCTTAGTAGACAGCTTGAACTTTGTGAAAATACCTCTATAATAATGGGTGGAGATTGGAACACCCCCGAAAACTACAATGTTGGTACAAAAAATCATATTAACAGAAATCATGAGGTGAATCAAGAGAAAATACATGAAATGATGGCAACTTTCGATTTAATTGATATTTAAAGAGAACACGACCCCTATAAGTACCAATGTACCTGGCATGGTCCGAACAGAAAACAGGCTAGGCTGGATTATTGTTTGGTTTAATTGATACCAATGGTGAAATGTCAGAATACATAACTGATATTTTAGAAGATCAAAAACTGTATTTCAGAAAGTTGTATGAAAGTCGAAAGCTAGAAATTATTGACAGGTATATTTTTGATGATAGAAACCCATTTATTAATAAATATGAAGAATGTGCTAATTAAGTCATTGAAAAATACGAAAAATTTCAAATCACCAGGTATAGATGGTTTTACTGTTGAGTTTTATAAGTTCTTTATAGTGAATGTTCATATTTTTCTTATTCGTGCCTTAAATCAACAATATGCAAACTGAGTTATCAATTTCATAAAAAAGCAAGGCATGATAACTTGTATACCTAAGGAAGGTAAGTCCAAATTATATTGGATACTTTGAAAACCTATGGAGGTGACAATGTGTTCAAGTTGAAAAAAAAAGATGGTCTACTAGAAATATCAAAATCATTCATTACATTTTGGAAAGAGTTATTACAGGTAAGGACTTCCCTCATTTATATAACACTCCCTTACACCCCTCATTGTGAGCATTGTGAGGGTTGTTTAAAGGGACAATTTAGTAATGTAAGTTTTTGTATAACCTTGTCAGAAAATTCTTCATGATTATATAGTTTGATGCTCCTTATGAACAATTCATGTCGAGAAATTGACAAGAGACATGTTTTCTTGGCGTTTTTGATCAGTAATTGAGAAACCCTTAACTGTACAGCCGTACGTTTTAGTGGCAGCTGTCGGTAATTCCTAGCTAACAAAATGTCTTTCCAGCCAAGGAGAGAAGGTAACTTCTCGCTTTATTCACCTAGCCTTTCTGGAATGCAAATGCATGCATTTGTTCTGAATAAAAACATCTTTCAACAGCATCTCAAACATCGTTATAAATGAGTGATCTATCTTACGTTAAACCTGTTGATATCGTTCTTTCTGTGGTTCTCCATACGGCATCCTCTAGTGCGTCTAGTTGAACATGTTCGATTGTATTCAAATCCAAATGTGAACAGACATATCTTATTAGAGGTATACATTATGATACTTATAGTTCTTAATTGCGATGAACTCTTAATGTTTAAACTTCGCACTGAAATGCCCCGGATATTGCGCTATTTCGGTCGTAGCTATTTTTATCACAGGCTTTCTCAAAAGATGAAACTGACCACACTGGACGTTGGCTTCAGATCATGTCACTATCAACTACGTAAACTTTCGTTAGGATATATATGTTTCAGTATCGACTCGATTTTCTGGTTGTCATTTGACTATATTGGATATCATGATTCTTAGCTTTAGTGTTATATTCTGAATGCATGGACATTAACGTGACAGAGTTTTAACATACGTTTATGTTTTCCAGGTTCACCAGCCATATCCTCCGTGTCCTCTGGAACTCGCACACAGGGCCAATCTCAATCTGTTTCCCGGATACCTTGTACAGTACAGGATGTGGGAGTCAGTTTTGTGCTGATTTCCGTGATAGATGTCGACAGCTGACATACGAATGAACAGCAAGACAAAACATTGTCAACAAAACCATAGATAAAACTCAAAAATCGATAATCTAAGGATGAACAAGAGTACATAGAAAGACATAAGAGCCGGCGTTCCAGTACTAGAGGCTAAACAATGCTTGCCGTAAAAAAATCATTAAGAATAAGATGAATATATCACGAATCAGCTTGATAGTTTAAAGACCTCTAGAGCCAATTAATCGTGTACAAAATTAATGGAAATGTAGACATTATCTACTTATGCATATAACAATTTCAAAATATCATCACTATCTTCGAAACGTAGGAATAACGGTGTCATAACTTGAACTGAGGTAAAAGTAGAAGATGAAGGATTCACATCATTGAAGTATCAACATGTTTGCTTGCAATGTTAGGAAAGCTGTGATAATCTTAATTAAATCTTTATTACTTGTTGTTACAAAGTCTTATATTGACATTTCTCCCTTCCTAAGCCTAGTAAACTCTGGCAGCGTATAAACACGAATCATATAATGTCTGCATTGTCCTCTGCGTTCAAACTACCGTATACGCCGCCGAAATGAAGGCATTCAGAAAATGAAAAACACCGTGAATCAAAACAAGTCAGGATCATACAGGTTATTTAAACACAAATCAAGCCTTCCGTCAATAACTAAATACAGCGAATAGGTTTTTAGAATGGCTCAAACATTTTGTACCATAAACAAACGATTGCTGTGTCAAAGATTTTTTTTTGTCATTTTATAAAAAATCTGAACCGATCATTTCCCATTATCATAAATCAATATCTGTTTGTTTGTTTGTTTGGATTCGTACGTCTTCACAATAGCTTAGCTAATATGTAGGCGTGTCCACGGCTAAATGGGTGCCTCGGTGTCACAAACGCGACGTGGTAGCGTGCCTCGCTATCGGGACACGATAGACAGACAACGGGCTAACAAAACTTAACGTTTCATCTCGTACCGTAATTGACTTCGAGAAAAATTTGGACGAATTCTGGAAAGATCTCTAGTTGAAGTACGATTATACAGCGTCTTATATAGAGACTCATTAAATGTTTACCACAATGTACTTCTAGTTAAATTGTTATAGATATCGAGGTAGCGATGCCGACGTCCACAATTATATCCTAATCAATAGATTGTCAATTAGACTTATTTGACAAAATTATAAAACCAATTTTATTGTATGGTTGCAAAATATGGGGTTTCAGTAATTTAAATATGATCGAGCGTTTACATTTTAAATTTTGTAAATTCATACTTCATGTAAATAAGTCTACCCCAAATTTTATGGTGTATGGCGAATTGGGGAGATATCCCCTATCAATAAATATTAAAGTGAGAATGATCACTTTCTGGGCAAACCTTGTAGAAGCAGATTTTAATAAAATATCCAGTATTTTGTATAAATTACTATTTCACAAAATTGCAGAAGAAAATGGGGAAACTGGTTATTACATCCCCTGGATGAGATATGTGAAAAGTATACTTGATGAGTGTGGATTATCCAATATATGGATATCACAAACATTTCCAAATATTTTGTGATTAAAAAAACTGTTGAACGAATTTTATTTTACCAATTTTTGCAAAATTGGGATTCTGACAAAAATGAATCCAGCAAAGGAATAACTTATAAATTATTTAAAGATGAACTAAAATTAGAAAATTATCTAAATATCCTGTCTACAAAAAATGCCATTATGTTCTGTAAATTTAGAACGGGCAATGCCAGACTTTCAATAGAAAGAGGGAGATGGTTAAATGTAGAGAGAAGAAATAGAATATGCCATTTGTGTAATACTGAAGTTGGAGATGAATTTCATTATATGTTTAATTGTCCAAATTTTTCAAATGAAAGAAAGTTGTATATTCCAAATTACTATACCAGGCAACCAAACTGTTTAAAATTCCAGCAACTTTTTTCAACAAATAACAAAGTTTTACTAGTTAAGATATGCAAATATATTAATATAGTAATAGAGAGTCCGTTCTCCTGGTTAAAACAGCACGTACTCTATCTTGAATGTAACCATTGTATATTTTCTTAATATCACATGTATATTGTGGTTTAAAAGAATAAAATCTTGTCTTGTCTTGTCTAATCAACTATAACCCGTTTAATAAAGAACGTCACAATAAGGACGGTTACATATCTAGTGTATATTTTTGTTTGTAGCAAATACTGCTTAAACCCAAATTAGTTTTTTAAGAAAGAAAAAAAGATCAAATGTGTTATCATAGCGTGTTGACGCTATGTTATATTTGTAATTGTGTTGACGTTTTGATATATTTGTGATTGTGTATTAACATATTGGTATATTTGTGATTATGTAATTTACGTTTCTCTTTTACATGCTTATTTCCACTTCCCATTTCAACAACGATAAAAACTCATTTACTACTCAGGTAACGATTAACGCCATTATGCCCTTTTGTTTCTAATTTTAGTCTTTTACCATGAAATACGCCAGTGACTACTTATAATTTACATTTCTGCAAGCATCCGCAATCCTGAACTTATTGAATTTACGAAACACATTTTTTATGCATTTTGGATTTAATCCTCCGATTTGAGCCTTCTATTCGACTTGTTGGGTCTAGCTGTCATTCCCTTAACATACGGCATTGCATGCTTATAATCCGAATACATTATTTTAGTTTCGTCTTGCAACGTTTCCTACCAATTTAGTGTCGGTTGCCTGTACATGAAGGGGAACGGTTACTAAAGCATTACCACGGAGCATGCTGGGCTTTCTGTATTTCTCCAAACTTGTGACAGACCAGTTTGGAAGCCAGGCATATGACGATACAATGTTTAGTTTGGGTCATTGTTAGACGGATCTAATCATTTATAATGAAACGTTAACGTCCACTGAATGGAAAGGAAATGTTTCGTGCGTAAAATACTGTTGCGGTCAGTATCAGCTCTGCGTAAGTTATCGGCTTCTGTCACACGGTATCATTGCATATCCCTCTTAGTTTAGTACCTAACCAGTAATAATGACCATACAATAAAAGTATACCTATTTTCCACATACCTTGATTTCCTTGAATCTTAAAGTTCTCCTCAGTGCAAAATTTTGATTTTGCTGTCCGACGCTTCCGATAATATGTCCACGACTCATTCATATATCACAGATTGGCAATGATCGATTTTACGTGCACTAGAGCGTACCATGTTCGGGTTATGATCCGGCATACCAGTCAGCGTACTGGAGCCAAACTGTTAGGTGCAAGAGGAGTTAAGACTCGTGTAAACTTTTACCATAACTGAATAACATCTTCAATTATTTTACGTTATATTTACGAAAGTTTGACATTAAGGAATCATTCACATTAAAGTATGTGAACAGGGAAATATGTTTTTGAAAATCACTTCGTTAAGCTAATAAAACCGTGTTCATTAAGTAGTTTCAATGTTCCACCGTTAGCTTTGTGTTTTAACAGGGGGCACATGCTTGACTGAATACACTTCTATAGGCGTGTTTTGTTAGTGTTTTAATGTTCACCTGTAGATTGCTGAAGTCACAGGGACCTGCCACATATGTAGGGGCGTCACAGCACATGTATGTCAAGTTGTCAAGGTAACTGAAAACCCATGAGGTCCTGAAAACTAATCCGTCAGGTAAAAAATAAGACGTTATCATATGACAATTTTCATATCCTACTTTGTTTCAGCCGGAGACTCCGATATTAGCACGAAGGGTCGCAGCCTTGTGCAATATGCAGTAGAGGTTGTACGCTCATTGGTGTGCGTTGTGGTGTTGTTGTCTCTACCACGGTTCCCACATTGAGCACGAAACATTACTTAAGCGAAGTAGGAGACCCCTACCCTGTCCGAAAACCTGGCCTAAATCTTGCACTTTGTCAATGGCCTCTAGTTATACATTTCCTTCGTTATTTTCTATTTTTCTTAAATATTGCATTGCCGATCAAACATGTTAAAGAAAATTAAACCAAACATACGAAAATGTAGGAAACAAACGACAATTTGAACATTAGGATGGCTATCTAGATTTCTTGCAGCAGACTAACAGTTTCTGAAAGTCTACAATTATAAAGATATTAACTGTTTTGATAATAGATTTAACGTTTGCTACAATAATACAAAAATTACCTCGTGTTTATCGAAGGTGAATGCAGTCTACTAACGAAAGCTTTATAAGGGATACCAGTGTGTGGCATTCTGTTCAACGAGACTATTTTTTTTTTATTTTGGTTTCAATAAGGTATGTGTAATATCTAATTGACCCATTTGCATATTCCCCAATTACAGGTTTAACAGAGAGTAAATATATTGAAAGGGTTTTGTGTGCATTTCTCTGGTCATATGTGGGCCTAGGACAACCTAAGAACATTATTTTCATTATTGCATTGACAGGGTTTAGCGTCATTGTTCGTGTAATACCTGAGTGTAATTACAACGTTAGGGTAACAAAATAAGCATTAAGGAATGCCTATACCATGTACTGTCGGCAAGCATGCGCAGTTGAATATCTAGCTGCTACAACGCTGTTACAACGGGCACCAGCTAGTTAAATTGTAGTATTACCAATGTCACAATTTTGAAACATTCGTTGAAGCCTTACACGAGATTTGTTTTTATTAATATCACATGTTCCCATGCATTTGAATGAATTGTAATTGTTGAAAATCGGAATAAAAAAGGGGAAAACAAGAAAACTGCAGAGAGCGCACTGGGAACCTTAATATTGTAAAGCCTTCACTTTACCAATATGGTATAACCTCAGCATCAGAGTGGCAGTATAACCTCAGCATCAGCGTGGCAGTATAACCTCAGCATCAGAGTGGCAGTTTGACCTCATCATCAGAGTGGCAGTATAACCTCAGCATCAGAGTGGCAGTATATCCTCAGCATCAGAGCGGCAGTATAACCTCAGCATCAGAGTGGCAGTATAACCTCAACATCAGAATGGCAGTATAACCTCAGCATCAGAGTGGCAGTATATTTGTTTTCTGTGAGATAGGATATTGGTTAACGAAGTTTTCTCTTAGACAATTTTCTCTGAATTACGTTTCGTGAGATGAGTTTAATGTGAGATAGGATATGTGTGAGAGAAGTTTCCTTTGAGACAGGTTTCTCTGCGGTAGGTTTCTGTGAGATTTGTTTCCTGTGAGATAGGATATTTGTGAGAGAATATTTCTTTGAGACAGGTTTCTCTGAAGTAGGTTTCTGTGAGATGAGTTTACTGTGAGGTAGGTTTTTTGTGGTGTAGATTTCTTTGAAGAAGGTTTCAGTGAGGTAGATCTTCTTAGGGTAAGAGTTCTGTGAGGTAGGTTTCTCTGAGGTAGATCTTCTTTGGGTATGAGTTCTGTGAGGTAGGTTTCTCTGTGGTAGATTTTCTGGGGTAAGAGTTCTGTGAGGTAGGTTTCTCTGAGGTAGATCGTCTTTGGGTAAGAGTTCTGTGAGGTAGGTTTCTCCGAGTTAGATTTTCTTGGGTAGGCTTCTGTGAGGTAGTTTTTGTTATAAAGAAACAATTTTGTGAGGGAACTCTTTCTTAAGACAGGTTTATCTGAGCTAGGTTTCTGTGTTGTGGGTAAACAGTAAGGTAGGTTTTCTGTGATTTAGGTTTCTGTTTGGTAGATTTTCTGTGTGATAGGTTTTGGTGAGGTAGGTTGTTCTGTGGGGAAGATTTTCTGTGTGATAGGTTTTGGGGAGGTAGGTTGTTCTGTGGGGTAGAATTTCTGTGTGATAGGTTTTGGTGGGGTAGGTTGTTCTGTGGGGGAGATTTTCTGTGTGATAGGTTTTGGTGAGGTAGGTTGTTCTGTGGGGTAGATTTCTGTTTGGTAGATTTTCTGTATTGTAGGTTTTGGTGAGGTAGGTTGTTCTGTGGGGTAGATATTCTGTGTGATAGGTTTTGGTGAGGTAGGTTGTTCTGTGGGGTAGATTTTTTTTGTGTGATAGGTTTTGGTGAGGTAGGTTTTCTGTGATTTAGGCTTCTGTTTGGTAGATTTTCTGTGTGATAGGTTTTGGTGAGGTAGCTTGTTCTGTGGGGTAGATTTCTGTGTGATATGTTTTGGTGAGGTAGGTTGTTCTGTGGGGTAGAATTTCTGTGTGATAGGTTTTGGTGAGGTAGGTTGTTCTGTGGGGTAGATTTCTATAAAGTAGGTTTCTGTAAGGTAGGTTTCTGTGAAGAAGGTTTCAGTGTGGTAGATTTTCTTTAGGGAAAGGTTCTGTGAGAAAGGTTTTTGTGAAGGAAGTTTTCTTTGGGACAATAGGCTGCTGTGTGTTAGGTTTTATATGAGGAAACTTTATGTTAGGTAGGCAGGGGAGAATTCCAGTAATATCCAGAGATTTCTGTAAGTAAGGGTTCTGTGAGGTAGGTTTTCTGTGGTGTACATTTGTTATGAGGACGGTATTTTGTGAGGTAAGTTTATTTGGGGTCGATTTTGCTGTTATGTAGGTTTTTATGAGGCAGGTTTCTGTGAAGTCAGTATCTTTATGATTGATTTTCTGTGATGATGGTTCCCGTGAGGTAGGTTTTCTGTGAATGAAGTTTGTATGGGGCAAGTTGTTGTGAGGTAAAAGTTTCTGTGAGGCAGGTTTCCACATGACAGGTTTTAGTGAGGTTGATTTTCAGAGAGTTAGGTTTCTGTGAGGTGAGTTTATATCAGGTAGGTTTTTGTGAATTACATGTACGTTATTGTGAGGTGGGTTAATTATAAGGTAGGTTTCTGTCAGGTACGTTTCTATAAGGTAAATTTCTGTGTAGAAAGTTTGAGTTAGATGTTCTGAGATAGGTTTCTGTGAAGCAGTTTTTCGTTGAGATTTGACTTTTGTGTGTTAGGTTTCGTTTTTGTATGCTTTTCAGTGAGGACGTTGTTTGAGGTAGTATTATTGAGATATGAATTTTTAGGCTAATCTCTGCGAGGTTGTTTTTTCTGTAAGATTAGTTCTCTACTTGAAATTTGTGTTTTGTGTATGGGTTCGATCTTTACTCAGATAAACTGACTGGGAAGTAGATCACGATTACCACTAGATATAACACGAACAAAACACAGCACGCCTCCCTGTATTAGTTGTTGTGTAGGTGAGAGATTTAAACAGTTAAGTATTAATGGCGTATTGTCTTGAGAGGGTGTATCACGTCCATGGTTAGGTCTAGGGCAGAGTTACCTTTGGTTTACCAGATCTCGGAACAGATAGTAAGACATCCACATAAAAGCTTGCTGACCAGCGTGTAACGTTAGTGTCACAGATACCAACCGTAATTGAAACATGTATGTGACTAGTTTAACTTGTCGAAAATCTGTAAACACATGCTGGGCACTAAACACGTATCTCTAGAATACGGTTTATATGTACATGTTTAATATAAAAAATATACCTAAAAATATATGTTCCCACATAGATAATGTATGGCCAATTAAAGTACCATGGGCATAAGGTTATTGTACATCATCAAATATCTTACGTAAGACTCGATGCATGAAAAGACATCTTATACTCTACATAATCTAAACGTTCATACTGGTTTGAACGCAAGAATCGCTTACAACCATATCGCATATAAACCTTATGTATTTTACAACAATTATGAAACAAGTTATTATTCGCCGGCATGAGACGACATATCTGTTTGTGATGGACTTGCTACAAATATGTAACGTATATATTACAGAGCGAGATTTCCATGCGGTTTGAGAGTGCTCCGTTGAATGTATAAACTTGAATAATTAAGTTTTTTTTATATAAGGTCGTGGCTGTGGTTACATATCGGTAATGATGTACATGCACATTTCGATCAAGATAATTGAGTCCGAGCTGTACTTTTTCCGGAAGTACGTCACGAAAATGGACGCTGATGACGATGTGTCGAGCCACCTTACACAATTTCAAAGTCTTCAACCTTTGATGTGCGCGGGTTATTTTTCATGACACATTAAAAAACAAGAACTCCTTCCCAATTCATTCTTTGATTTCCAAAACATCTTAAGATATTTATTCAAACATAAAAAAATAAGCCAGCTTTTTCAAATAAGGTTTTTACAATACTTTCAAAGTTTGATTATTGAGCTCTGAAAATACACTTTTTTTAGAATAAACAAGTGAAAATGGCGATTGTGATGTGCGAGGGTTATTCCTTTCATGACACTGGCACTCTATTCAATTTCAAAAACGTATTCAGATATTACATAATATTTCTATCCAGCTTCCTAATATGAGCGATATATGTCTAGGATATGTGACATGCTGACACCAACTAACGAATACACGATCAAACTTTCGTCACCAGCTAGGATCCATATAAGTTTGCTTGGACATGTGCATAGTCTCGGTTCCGCGTGATTGGGCAGCCGCAACCCAAGTCTCGCAGCGTATCTTATTTCACTGCCTGAACAATATGATCATGCGTGTTTTTTCGAGATCTGCGTGGGTTGCCAATCCCTCTAATATATACGTCTCTGGTGTAGTCTCAGGTGTAGTCTCTGGTGTAGTCTCTGGTGTAGTCTCAGGTGTAGTCTCTGGTGTAGTCTCTGGTGTAGTCTCAGGTGTAGTCTCTGGTGTAGTCTCTGGTGTAGT